TTTTCCTCAGGTCACAAAAGCTGTTAAATACTAATGTTTTCAATACTCATCGAGGTTATACTCGCTTCTGAAAGTTCAGGTAAGTATGACAGTAGGTCTATACGTTCTAGTAACTGACACGATTTATTTACTTCAAAAGCATTTCAATAGAATAAAATGTTAGTCATATTCTTCTCCTCCCTCTTCTTCTCCTCCCTCTTCTTCTCCTCCCTCTTCTTGTTCTTCTTCTTCTTCTCTCTCTTCTTCTTCTCCCTCTTCTTCTCCCTCTTCTTCTTCTTCTTCTCCTCCCTCTTCTTCTTCTTCTTCTTCTTCTCCCTCTTCTTCTTCTTCTTCTTCTTCTCCCTCTTTTTCTTCTTCTTCTCCTCCTCCCTTCTTCTTATTATTAATATTATTATTACTTTGTTTAGTCTCAAAGTTTTTGGTTTCACATGGTTACCACACAAATACAATATCCGAGCATGGTAACACAGGCATATTTACAATCTACAAAACAAATTAGGGCTTTCTAACACATAAACATAAAATAACTGTTTTCAGATTGTAAACATAAAATAATTCAATTTCAAATGCTAATAACCAATACAATTTCAAGAGTGATCTTTTAAAAACCCAACATGTCCTCCCATGAATCTCCTGACTAGTGAGCAGGTACTGATTATAACCGACAAATGGAGGCCGATGATAATGCTCTTCTCCAAGCAGAGTTCTTCCAGCGATCTGCAGAGAATTTTTGGTATCACGCCGGTTGTTGATAGTACAATTGGGATAGTTTTCACTCCTGACACACGCCATTGTTCTTTTACGGCAAATACTAGTTCTCTGTATTTGTCGATTTTAGTCTGGTATGTTGTCATCATATTGCTGGTATTGACGACTGCAACATCAATAAACCAAACTTTCTTTGCAGATTTTATCCCAGAGTAATATCAGGTCTGTTGTGCTGAATTGTCCTGTCTGTCAGAATACTACGGTCCCAGTATAACTTATGTGTCTCATTTTCTAGTACCACTTCTGGATGATACTGGAAGTATGGTGCATCCACTTTCTGAGATAGCCTGTGCTTTTTAGCTAGTTTGGAATGGATGATGTGGCTCACTTGATCGTGTCTCACATTATAATAATAATAATAATAATAATAATAATAATAATAATAATAATAGTAATAATAATAGTAATAATAATAATGGTAATAATAATAGTAATAATAATAATGGTAATAATAATTGTAATAATGATTTTATGACTTGAAAAAAATATTCACGTGACACAACGTTTCTCCGGTCCAAGAAGGAAAATACGGTATTTTTTAGAAAATATACTACTGTGACGTCATTCATAATTTTCGAAATAAATTATTTCTTATGAAAGACATTACGGAATTTATTAGCTATTATTTACGACAGATTTTGAAATCTCGGCCACGCCATATCCCCTACATTACTACTAATAGCGCTTCTATATAGCTGCTATACTATAAACTGCTGCCAGTTTCTCTATCGACCATTTTTGAATGAGAAGCTCGGAAGTGTGTTTTATTTGTGAGGGGAGTTTGGACAAAGATGAAGTGGTTGTGGGGAAGAAGAAAAGTCGGGTCAATTAAAAATATCTTTCTTGTGGGAAGATATGAAAACCAAATGTACCAAAACGTTGACATGCGAAGTACGTACATTAATCCAAAATGTATTTCTGCATTAACTCTAAAGGCATGTGTGGACTCTCAACTATGTATATCAACAGCTCTTAGATATATAATCGATACTTCAATTTCAAAACATATTGATAGCTGGTAGTAAAGAGAATACGACTGAGTTTACGGAATCACAAAAAAGACTGTCCTGTCCCATATACACAGAACTTGTGTTCACAAGGTTATGAAGTTTTCCTTGATATCATCAAATATCGGTGGGGCTGAAAACCGTTAATATGAATGGGATTTGCAAATAACTCTCATTGCTCACGAGGATTTAGACGTAGAAGAAGCTCATTGCAGAATTGGGGAATTGGTCATTTACCTCACATGACATGGAAAGTATTAGACCATCCCATTGAGAGAATGCTTTATTATTTAGTTTTGATTCTTATTTAACGGAACGTTAGATGTTTCAAGTAATGAAGTTTCAAAGTTCAATGAAGCGGATCCAATAGTAAATACGATATCAACCAGCAGCTTTGATTCAAACTTATTGTCCACATATGAGCTAGTCCCTGTCAAAAGGGAAGAGAAAAATACTTTAGTCTTACTACCGATACGGCGGCATGTGCCAAATATGTACATTTCTATCTTCAACGAGTCAATTGCACAGTTCTTAAGTTTTAAAATTCTGGTATAAAACAATAAAGACAGATTGGGCACGATGGACGCAGGCATGATTATACCGTGCGTCTTAAGAGTCGGGAATCTCCCTGTATTCGCTCATGAAATCATCCTGCAAGGAAGTGGCATTCAACAAAGTTGCCTTCAAGGAGGAATATGCAAGTATGCAATGCATGGTCTCATCAATATTAGTGGCTCGGCGAAATCCCTTTACTTTTTTTTTTCTTTTTTGTCAGCCTTCACAATTCCTTTGTCGGAAATGGCGATACCATGACTCTCTGTGAACAAATTCGCGTTTGCAATGCGTGTTATTTTGTGATGCCAACCATATTGACCGTCTTCATCCTCGTTTACTATTGTAAGCTTCAAAGAAAACTTCATAACCTTATGCACAACATTTCTTTGTGGATAGGGCAATCTCTCCTGTGATGGTGACTAATATTATTAAGTTGTTATTATTATTATTATTATTATTATTATTATTATTATTATTATTATTATTATTATTATTATAATTATTATTATTATTAAATTATTATTAAGTTATTATTATTATTAAATTATTATTATTAAGTTATTATTATTTATTATTATTTCTCATGAGCTTGTGCCGAGTTCAATTTGCTCATTTGTTCAAGAACTTGCAAACTATATGACAAGTTTTCCATCCATATTTTAGAATTCGTTGAGGTAATCCCTTTTTTTCCCTCATTTTTTGTCACTACACCTTCAGCCGAAATAGCAATTGGATATATTGTTACACTCTGTAGTTTCCAAATTTATTTTATTTGCAGGGCAAGATCTTAATACTTAGTATCAACAGCTCACTATCAGAAATCCACATACATCCAAATACACAACGCATTGCCAGATGATATTAAACAATTAAAATTGTTTCACAAATTTAAATTAAAAGTAAAATCTTTTCTGCTGCCTAACTGTTTCTATACAATTAGACTTCACTGATTACCAAAAAGAAGCATAATTTTTATTTTAACAAAACAGTGATATGTCATGAATTAGTTTACATTTGTATTGTATATTTTTTAAAGACTTTTTATGATTGTAACATATAATGGCTCTTCTGAAAGTAAATGTACCTTCACTATGCGCACGTTTTGTTGAACTCTCCTTTTGCTTGTAATGGTAGGAGTAGAGGTAAGAGCGAGTTACTATTTTGTTAGCAATGCAAAAAATCATACTTGCAATTCGTTTACTGATCCAAATAGGTTTTCTGTAACTCGGGAACAAAAATGTCTTTTTTTTCAAATATTGCTAATCTGGCGATTTTTTAAATCTATTTTTATTTATTTATTTTAAAATTTTACTCATCTTTCAACTTTTTATAGTTAAAATGACGGAAAGGGATTCTGGAACTCAAGAAAACGTGCGCTGATGAGCTTCTCTCCCATAAGTCACTCACAGTTTTTACTGTTCTAAATTACTAATCTAATCAAGTAATTTTCTCGACCTGGTTTCTTTAGGTTGTGTGTCAACGGTATGGCAATATTAACTCGAGTATTATTATTATTATTATTATTATTATTATTATTATTATTATTATTATTATTATTATTATTTTAGTATAACTTAATTCTAATTTTTATGTTACCAACTGACATCTCTTTTCATTTATTTACAATTTATTTCTTATTTTAAATAATAATTTGATTAGTTTGATTTCTTTTTGCCTGTTGAGTTTCCTTGGAAAAAATCAAAATTTCAATAGAAACAATTCACGCATCATACAGTAACTCGCAAACAGTACAGATGATGGATGCACTATAATCAACTAGTCATCCGAAAAAAAGAAAAAAACAAAAACAAACCAACGTACAATATTACAATCCCTCTCTGACAAGTAAAAAAGGACTTAGAGAGCGATTGCAGTGTACTGGATGAGATAAACAAATGTAAAATTACTTTTGATGAGACCGGTATTTTTGCTATAATGTCCAATGTGCATATATTCCTCTTATTAGCATGCAGATTTACCGTCCATGGTAGCATCAATGACTGTAGTATGATCTTCGGATATATCCTGTAGATGCCAAGAATTCTTATTAACCAGTCCCAAGGAACTGAGTCAAAAGCTTTTGTGTTAACTATATGACACGTGTGAAGGTATTTCTGCGTACTCTGGACTTGTTCCAAAACTACGGAATCTATTATGTTGGTGTTTGCAACCATTTCTTAACAATGCTCATAGATTTTTTCATTGATGAAGGATTTAAATAATTTGTAAATAGTGGACAAACACGTTATTGGTCTGTAGTTTTGTGGCTGTAATACATCACATTTCTTGTGAAGCAAAGACGTATTTCCTTCGGTAAGATGAAGTGAGATCTTGCTCGGGTCATTTAGTGCTTCTGTAAAGCATGTAGGGAATGGTTCGTTGGAATACTTTACCCGAGAAATTTGAAGTCCATTTGGTCCTGTTGACTTCCAGTTATTGGTCTTCTTAATGCATCTACGTATGTCTTCGATCGTGAAACCTGTGACAAACATACGTTCTTTCTGTGATATAGCGCATTATACCTTTTCAATCGTGCTTCTTTCACCTTAGCTTTCTGTCGGTACTCATCCTTCAGTTCGAGAAATCTTTGGTGACAATTAAGGTATAAATTCTTCTAGATTAATTTTAGTCTGGGCACATAACACAGTTATCTTCTTTACTATTTTTCAGGAGCGGGTGCCCTTCAGAAATTCATTAATCAAATCTGGAAGTGATCAACTCTCATTTAGGAAGTGATCAACCCTCATTCCAAGTCTCATCTTCCAGACCGAGTCTCAGCCTTCCTGGTGCGTATGTCTTTTGGCCATTAAGTTTGATTACCGTTGCCGCTGCACAATATAGTGTTAGGTGTACTTTCACTAAATCCAAACATTGCTTCAGGTGTTCTTCCAAGATGGTATTGGTCCCAGTTATGATTGGTTTGGCTCTTATGGTGTTCTTCAAAATAGGTATTCGTGGTCTTCTGAAAGGTTGAGTACTTCAATAGAGCTCCAAAAGACTTTGGAAGCATTCTACCGCTTCATTCAGTTCAGTATCCTGGTTCTCTTCTATATCTGAGGCGGCTTCAAAAGTACTCTCAATGTCATTTGATGTGGTACTCTGGATTGGTTGAGTTTTGTCAATCAATTTCAATTCACTCACAACCTGCCTACGGACTCCTTCTAACTCAGTTCGTGTTAAATATCCGTTGGTGGTAATTGCTTTTCTACGGTCAACAACATTTTGTTCTGTAAGTTGCATGCTTGGTCTAATCCTCCCATACTCTTCATGGAAAAGTCGTCTGTAACCTGTACGTGGAGTATCTTCGCACTTTTTTGCACAGTGAAATGCCATCATGATTACCATGTTCGTTTCTCGTGTCCCACTAATTCGAGGTTCCTTTTCGGTGCCATGTCCTCTGCGAGCAGTCTCCCTTGTGTTTCGGGCAGACGAGCCAGCCGATGAAGTGGCCTAAGAAGTATATTTTCTTCCCCCACGTTGTCCAGGTTCTCACAGTTAGACTATGTAGTCATATTGGGGGCTGTCATATTTATTGACAGGGGCTCGCCCTCTGAGCGGCCTGTCGCCGGCGTCCCGTGTGCTGATCCGCCTCACCACGGCTCCAGACGGTCCCTGGCGCTCCCCAGGCAGCGGCTCTTCCGAGGCCTTCGACGCCTTCTTTGCGGCTCCATATCTCTAAATGCCAATCAACGTACGGGGACTCCTTTAGCTCCGGAATCTCTACGCCCTCTTTCTCTATAGACGCTTGAACGTTACCAACGTGGTTAGATTAGCAACATTTGAAAAAGTAGACGATTTCGTTCCAGAGTTTTAGATAACCGTCGATTCATCCGTCGATTGCGGTGTTCTTAGCGAGGGTAGAGAGCTGATAGACCGCACATAGCACAGCCGACACAACGGAGAACAACATAGAGCAACCAACGGAGATAGGTATTCACAATGAAATTCTAATATAAAAAAGGAAAAATCGAATAACAAAATATATTCAATTGTGAATATTAAATTTAATATGTACAATTTTACTGTCAAAAAATAATTTTCATAATGTATCTAACTATTCGTTACCTAATACATTTTTTTTTAAATTTTGGTATCGTCAATGAAAAAAAACTATTACTGTTAAGTCTTAGTTTTGAAATGGAGTTCATTTATTGTGAATCACTGATTTAGGGGGTTAATTTGTTCCTAGATGATTATTTATTAAGCCAAATCCACTTGTATGAATCCGCCGTGAGCATGTCTCGACTGAGTCTAGGGCAGCGACAGCGCTGAGGGCGGCGGCGGCGCAGCTTGGGACACTGGACAAATCGACTCCGTTAATAGTTAAGATAGCAAACGCGATCCTTGCTTCAATCGCAAGTTGTGTAAATAAAATCGGTGCACCTTGGTCGTTAAGAGCGCGTGCAATTCGTAGTTTGCCTACATGTACACAGTGTCATAGAGTTGCATCCGCTATATAAGAAAATTCGAACAAATGCTGCTCGAATTACTGGGCAAAAAGTTCGTCATAACTCTAAAAATGTTGAAATCGTAAATATTTGTAGCTACGCTCGTGGGACATACTGAAAACAGGATATGTGAATTTTCGTAAGTTTTCGTAATAAAATGAAATAGGTGACGTCACTTTGGAACCAAGAAAATACTTGTCTGTGGCCGAGGTAAGGGCGAAAGGTGCAAATGACAGAAAGTGTGGAACGGAGAAGTGCTCCGGTGCGTGAGAAGTGCTCCTGCGCGGTTGCTTTGTCTGTTTTGAGCCTCTGTCATTGAACTTGCGAGCGTGTGGCGCTCTCCGCGTCATTCCGAGTTGGAAACCCGCGGCCATTGGCCCTGGATGAAGAACATTGAAACGAACTTTACGTAACCGTCCAAAATAAGCCTGTCAAGATTTTGTAATGACAATATTGAAACCAATCAATTATGCTCTCGTACGTGTTTGGAGATTTTGACGGAAATCCCTCTCCCTCCTTTTGTGGGTCCCTCTTACGAAAGTGTTTTTCAAAGGTCCACCCAACCATCTCCCTCTTCCGATTTCCTATGTCAAACGTGCGGGCTTGGCTGGTGCTCCATTGGAGGAGAAACCTGGTAGGGAAACCCCACGCAAGTCAATGTGTAGGGCAGCGCTGGTTCTCACCAGCCAGCGGGAGGGGAAGAATTGTATGAAGTTTTTTGTAAAGGTTGCCTATTGGACAATTGTAACCCTGTCGGAAAGTTTCAGGGAAGACGAATAAATCTACAATTAAATATCTGAAGCCAATATTTAATTTTAGTGCTTACTGAAAATGGGGCGATCCAATTTTTCAGCATTAAGGCATTTTTGACATGCCTATGGATGTTACAGCATCACAATCAAATTCATACCATATATAACTTGTATGTCTAAAATTGAAATTGTAAGCATTGTAGCTTATAGAATCAATCCAGCTGACCCATCTCATTAATTCCTTTCTTTATTGGAAATCAATGCGTCAACATTATCACCTTGAGATATAATCAGTTCTGTAAAACCACGCCTGCACCAGACAGATTAGACGTAATTTTGGATACAACACCTGGTGAACTTCATCCTTGCACATGTACGGCGCTGCATTAGTACCAGAAGGAAGACATTTCTGTGTTCAACTCCATCAGGTCACAAAAATACCATTGTATGGTTAAACTATTTTGCAATAGTTTGATGGTTGCATTTAGATAACATTTTATAAGTTAGCAAAATAGACTTATTTTTAACCGTTCGTTAAACGTGTTACAATGTTCCGAATATGATTTCCTTAAACATTAGTTGTCTCGTCAGTTGACACCCAGATGAAACCATCGCCAATTTCCAATGTATGGAATCCGTTGTTTCCAAACAATGAGTGAAATTCATTTTTTTCATAAACAATTCGGGGACAGATCTTTAATCTTGTAGATTCGCGTGGAATTATTTCTCGTGGATATTTTTTACAGAAATTTACTAGCATTGGATTTTCATATAGGAATGTCGGCACAAACCATAGCGCAACACAAATCTATTTATTTATTTACTTTCGCCAAATATAGTTATAAACTGTGTGTGACGTGCTATGGTGAGAAGCTAATTTGAAGTTAAATTTATTCAAAAGTAATCAATCAATTCAAAAGTAAGATTACTGAGGCTCAGTACTTCGGCGATCATGAGATTATCAGTAAGAACTGTTGTGGAAATTCATCTTAAAAATTAATGTTTGATGGCATCACGTGGATGGATGTTGCAAGATTTGAAATCGCCGAGGACATGCCACGCTTTTACGTACATGGCAAAGAAGCGTTTTCCATATGTGGAAGAGTTAGAATACTTCTGTGAAGCGCTTGTCTTACGTCGGAGAGGTTTTTTCCTTCGGATTGTTGAAGTAAAATGTAGAAAATATAATGTATGTGTGTATCTACTTGTCGCCCAGTCCGTGACTGCAATGATAATTACGTAAAACCTGAATGAAGCATTTTGAAAACAGTGCGAGTTTTGACGGGAAATAAGGTATATGAAACTGATATATAGATTATGCAGATGCTATCATGTATTTTATGCTAAATTTCATGGAGAGAGTTCTGATTCAGTTTCCCGAAGAGAGAGAATTGTTCTTAGAGAAAATTGTTTTTCATTCCTTACAATGTTCTCTTCAAGTTCCGAATTGCGAAGTTGAACGAAAGTTAAAAATATGTACCCTCATTTCTCTAATATTTTTCAGAGATTCATTTAGGGGATTATTTTTGGGGATTCATACAAAAGCACATTTAAAAAATTAGAATTTTTTCTCTCCTTTTCTATCCTTTTCCTCTCTTTCTCTCTCTTTCTGTCTCTCTTTCTCTCTCCTTCTTTCTCTCTCCTTCTTTGTCTCTCTCCTTCTATGTCTCTCTCCTTCTTTGTCTCTCTCCTTCTTTGTCTCTCTCCTTCTTTGTCTCTCTTTGTCTCTCTCCGTCTTGTTCTCTCTCCTTCTTGTCTCTCTCTCTCCTTCTGTTGTCTCTCTCTCTCCTTCTTTGTCTCTCTCTCTCCTTCTTTGTCTCTCCTCTCTCCTTCTTGTCTCTCTCGCTCTTCTTTTCTCTCTTCTCTCCTTCTTTGTCTCTCTCTCTCCTTCTGTTGTCTCTCTCTCTCCTTCTCTTTGTCTCTCTCTCCCTCCTTCTTTGTCTCTCTCTCCCTCCTTCTTTGTCTCTCTCTCTCCTTCTTTGTCTCTCTGTCTCTCCTTCTTTGTCTCTCTCTCTCTCCTTCTTTGTCTCTCTCTCTCTCCTTCTTTCTCTCTCTCTCTCCTTCTTTGTCTCTCTCTCTCTCCTTCTTTCTCTCTCTTTTTTTCTTCTTAATAACCGGAGATTTTTGTCGTATGTGAAATATATAAAAAAATATCTTAAAAAAATCATGTTGCAAAAAAATTACGGCCTGCCTCGCCGTCATGGGTAAAGGTGTTACGTGTGGTTGGCCTGTAGATATCCCCACGCCATATTCCGGTCTTCTCATACTGAGCAGTGAATATTCTCATTGTCACACAGTGACATATACTGAGACATTGCAAAGAAAACTCACACTGTAGTCTTGGCTCGACTGGGAATCGAACCCGGGGCCGTGTACTTGAAAACGAGCACGCTAACCAAGAGCTAGCCACGAGCCCAAAAGTAGAGCAAGATGTACTAAAATATAAATGAATTCATAATGTCACTTTTCAGTGTTTGTCACTGAAGGGGAATAAAACAAAGCTGGTTCAAATTTAGCCGATCGACTCTTAGATCGTATAAATTCTACTTTAGATGTTCTTACACGAAGCGATATTGCTAGACTGCT